TGGCTACTTAGTTTTATAATAAAATATTGAAATTATGGACATTCAAAAATCAAAATTTTGTGAGTCCATAAAGTTCACTGAAGGTTAAAGGTTATAATTATAGCCAGCCTATCCCAAATATTATGAGTTATGTCCTCTGTTTTCAAATGTGACAAATTGACAGGTCGTTTGTACAACAAATTATGACAAGAAATGACTTAGTTGCCATATAATCAGTCATTTGCACATTTTGGTGTGACTAAGTAAACAATTTTATCAATTTCATCTTTTATCTCTGGAAAAGTATGAAATATAATATAGTTTATAGTTTTTATGTGGAATGAGGATAGTTTACAATTTCATATTGGTAGATTTGACATCTCTGTTATATCATACTTGAGACCTACCTCACCCAGCCCCCCCCCTACACATCAAGTTACACTGTCAATGTTTGACAGGTCTTAAATTTCTCCTTAACATGTTTTATCAACACCATGTAACTGCCTCCAAGCAACTTGAATAATTATATGAATAATTATATAGTTTCAAGTTTTTATATATAGGTAAAGGAATAATAAATGAAAAAAATACTCAATATTTATAATATAACAAGTTATCTATATATTTGCACACATGTAAAATGAAAACACAATGTTAATCAAGGACAAATCATGTTCTGAACATAACACCAATCAACTTGTAAATCACAAGTATACCAAAAATCAGCATGAAACTCGATAAGAACCTATCTAAACCCAAATCAAACTAATTCTTAACCCCAAAAAGAAACCAACTTCCAAACCTGAAAAAAAGCTGCTCTATTGGAAACAGTTTCTATCAAATAATGAATCAATTTTATTTGTTAAAACAAAATGAAATTTGAAACTGAGTAGCAAAACAGTCATATTCTAAACTAAAGACAAACAAATTTTAAAATCTGAGACACACCGAAGCTCAACCTTTTGTAGAGAAATAAAATTCCAAACCAAAATCAAAAAAGATTCAAAATCGGAAACAAATGAAACTGAAAACCAGAATCAAACACAATTTGAAATGCAAATCAGTGCTAAAACCGAAAATGAACCAGTGTAGCTGCAGTAAATATTTGCAAGTTCTTCATTATAAGCAACATGTGTTTTTGAAATAAGCATGATGTGGAAACAATGAAAGAACTTTAAAAACATTAAATGAGAAATTTCATTGGACAAAAACCAGTAAAAGAAGACTTCAGAAATGTTTATTTTGACTGTTAATATAATAAAATTCAAGAGGGATTTACGAACAAGAAAAGTTGCAGACTTTATATTTGTAACACACTTTAGTAATTTGCTGACTGTTTTTGTGGTATTATAATTCAAAAGAATTTTAATTTGAGAAGAAAAGACGCTACTTTTGTCAAAAACGATTGTTTGAAACTGATTTCAATAATTTTGGAAAAGGTTTTTTCACATAGCTATTATTATCAATGAAAAAAGGAAGTTTTAAAACTCTGTTTGCATTTTTTAGCTGATTATAGATAAAGGAATTATAGAAAGAAAAGAAAAAATCACACAAAAAAAACTGGGATTGTTTTGGACATGTTGAAGCATAGTCTGTTGTATAAGTAAAAAAATACTCTCCTATTTTAATCCTTGCCACTCTAAATATCTTAAATGGATTTGTCCATCTTTCAATCTGGGCATAACCATTTGTCATTTTGGGGGGAAATTTTCAATCTAAATACTGACTGAATAGCAAAAAGTGCAAACAGTACAGGCTGGTCTTGGTTTGTAAGTGTAACATGTGAAGTTAAACAACAACAGAGACTTGCACTAGATAATGGTCTATCATAATCTAGTAATTTTATATGCAACCAGTATAAAGTAAAGCCAAACTCATCACTGGTAGGTGCTCAACCTCTAGTAAGGTATTTTCATATGTTTAAAGGAACTCCACTGAGGCCCAAAAGCCTAAAAACATGAAATTTGAATTTCTTTCTTGGGCACTCGGAACAGAAAAATATTCAAGAGATAATTTATTATGAAACATACTCAGAAATAAATTGAAAATCGAATTTGTGTACTATTTTATTGATCTTTCAACTATTGACTGTTCAATGGTTATTGCAAGACATGAACATGTTAATCCATTAAGTGCTTTTGACAGTGTTTCATTATTTAAGTGCTTTTGACAGTGTTTCATTATTTTGGAGCTATGTAAAAGTGCATTTTTCATGAAACATGCTTAGCCATTTCCTCAATATAAAGTATGCTAATCTGAGGACCATTAAGAATAAGGCCATGCAGTAGTGCACTTTGTTGGTTTCAGAAAATATCATTAATTATTATTATTTTGTCTAAATGTTTTGCTTATTTACTGAGGAATGATAAAAAATATTTTTTGGCATGTTGTTTATTCTTGAATCTTTCAAATATTTGCCAATTGAAGGGAGAAAATGTAATAAATCTGTTATTTCCATTAAACTTTTTCTGAACCGAAAATCCAATGTATGAAAAACATCGAAAATTGGGAATTTACCAGTTGTTTACATGGTTTCCATAGAGATGGAAAATATGTAAGTTAATGTGAAGATGTACCATTTGTTTATCTGAGCGTTATCATGGCCTGATCAGATGTAAGTAAACAGAAAATGAAACAAATGATGATTTGTCTGTCATAGCTCCTTATCTACATAAATATTTTAAATATAAGTGTGATGAACAAGCAGGGGGTGTGTACGGTAGCTGATATAGCCAGTACAGTAGTTCCTATAATAGAAGAACCATTTGCATAAATGTGTTATAGTATACTTTGTTTAGTATATTACTAAGCTTTCATATATCTGAAAACATTCGAAAGGGTAATAAATAGTTACTGGATGAGTTTTCCTGCATTCTATGCCACATTATATTTTTTTCAGTAAATATTTGTCACCCTCGTACCTTAATTTCGGACCCATAACTCTGGTATTAATTTTGCACTGAATTATTCCCCCTTGAATTTACATGAGAACAAATAAAACTATGGAACTGCACCAAGGGCTTAATTTAATGGGTGACTTCCATATCCCTAGACCACACTTGGGATGAGTTAGTCAATTTTATACTCATTGGATGCATAATGTTTGTTTGTTTGGGTTTCATGGCAACAGGATGTTAGTTTGAAAGTGTCAAATATAGATGGATGTTGGTCTGAATTATTGTAATATTAGGCAACATTTGGTTAGTTTGCATTTATGGTATATAGTTTACTAAGGTTTTGATATGTTTGATTAGTTTATAAGAATTCATTTTAGTTTGATTGTGTTGGAAGCTATAATAAGCTTATTGAAACACTCTCAATTCCATTCCTGGAACCAACCAGTTCTAAGCAATGAGTGTTTAGTTTCTTGCTCAAGGAAACAACAGCTTGGGGTTTGAACCAACATGGCCAGCAATCCTTAGATCACTTGATCACTTGTCCGACGTGCTAACCACTCAGCCACGCCGCCACTGTTTATAATATTTGTAATATGTTTGAATGCAACATGTCCTTGTACATATCTGCTTATCATTAAAGGCAGGTGCAAATTTTATGGTTAGTCATGACCATCAGTGTTTTTTTTTTCTTTTTAACTTCGTAATAAGTTCTAAGCTACAGTGTTTTATTTTGCTTCTTCAAAAATCTTACTCGGCCACAAATAATGGATTTAGATCATTTTTGCCATGTGGGGCTACAAATTTATGCTAACTTTATTAAATGTAACCTCATTATTCAAGTAAAGTAAGATTTTTTTTTAAAGTTGAAATGTATCAAATACAGTAGTCATTATAAACTTAAAGTGAAGTGTAGGCACAATTATGAATCAATTGTTTTATTACTTATCATATTACCATCAAATTGATAATTTACCCAATTTACTAATTGATTTTCTTATCTTTAGCATGTATCCTTTTTGATCTCTTTATTCACGTCCTGTATTCCCTGATGAATAATATCCTGTAATTCGTCTCTCTACTTTTATTGAGCACAATTTTAACTTTGATGATTCCACACCTACTAAGATGTATCTGGCCACATGATGGCTTTTATAATCTGATAATCCTATGTACCCCACCCATTTACAGGTAACATATTATACAGCATTTCTGTATGCAGATTTCTCAAATATTTGTATATTTCAAAATCATTAAAGAATTTTTTTTTTTCAAGTACTGATTAATTAAAGATAGACATACATACCTCTAAATCCAAACACAAATGAAATAATACATTATTAAATTTAATACATGCAACCATTCATTTTTCTATAAGATTAAAGTACAGTAACTTTAACATAACGAGAAGAACGTTTTTTATTAATCCCCCATTATCTTACGGCATGAGTGTATAACCACAAGTATGTTTTTATTTAAAACTATTGGAAAGTATGAATCATGAGCTAGTGCTATTTATAGCTCTAGCTATTCCGCACAGCTGTGTCATGTGTATCGGAATTTCCTGTTAAAGGGACTTATCCATAGTATTTTTTCAATATTATCTTGTAACGCAGAAGTCCTAGAAACGTATCAAGAGAAATTTCAGCGTCAATTTTGATTTAATTGTTTTCTGTCATTTTTAAGAAACAATGCTTTCTTAAGAAACAATATATTATTAAATCTACATAATTAAAGTTATAAATTTTTCCTAGTTTGCTGACTTCCCCAAAAACTAGTAAGTTTTCTTGCAAAATCTTGTTTCTTCTCAGAAAAGTTACAGATATGATAACATATCTCCTCAACATTTTGTGGTTTAGGAGTATCCTTTTAAGTTAAATTAAGTTTGCGAACAAATATTTTTTTAAAAATTTTGTCCAATTTCAGTATTATTCTTAACATTTGATAACAGGATGAACAGTAAATGTTGCTTTGTATTTAATTATGTAAATTTAATACTCTAATTACCTATTCGGAAAAAAACAGTCAAGGTTAAATCCGTATATGCTGCAAGGTAATTTGACAGGTGGAAATTTAAATACTGTCATTTCTAACCACAAAATTTTTACTTTGATAATATATAAGTACCTTTAATAGAAGTTTCATATCCGCAGCGAGTTAAGTAGCGTATTGCATGTTTATACATTGTTATATCCGTACTGAACGTCTTTACTATTTTATCGAATACTTTCACGGTTTAATACCCTCTTTTCTTTTCGGTCAAAGCACATTTTCAATTATTGTTTTGTGGCTGAAAATGCATTTCCTTTGTATAACAGTTAACAAACATCCAATAGGAGAGAAAACCAGGCTATTAAGATCCGTCTGTGTACTGAATGACCTTTTGTGTTAGCCATTTAGTGAACTAGCAGTTAATTAGGTATGTCAAATGATCTAAAAGATCTGCTGGTGTCAGATAGCCAGGGGCCAGCTTTGCCTGACATGTACTATAAAACCAATACACAATTCAACATAGTTATATCCTCCGATATTTATAAATATTTTACTTCATTTAGCCCTAAGCTGATTATGTTTTGTATCCAATTTCAAAAACAGTTACACAATTTAATATAAACACAATTAAAATAATCTTGAGACTCAGACCATTTCTCACACTGGTCAAACTGATCTATAAGCTAGATACTAGAAGACAGTGCATGTTTTAAATGTAAACATTCAACTGTTGTTCATTTATCTAAAGACACTTGTCAAAATATTTATTTTTTACCAGCTGAAATTGTATTCACACTGTTTTGTTAAATAAAGTACTGTTCTTTTGATGTCCACTTTATATACACTGATCAGTAGTCAAAACGCTTTCTGCTTAACAAAGAAATCTATACTGTTAGAACAAATATTTACCTGAAAATTCCACCTAGTAAAACAATCCTGAAGAAACAATGGAATATCCCTGAAATATTTACATTTTCCTATTTTAAATCCACTATTTACTGTATATTATATTTCTGTTCTTCTATAAAAATTACTCCTGGCTGGGTGAAAATAAACACAATTCACACACATCAGCAAATGTTGTTATACTGCAATATTTATCCAGTCTTTAGTCTCTAATTGATTTATTCCAATTAATGGATGCTTTTACAAGATGATCAGCTGCCTTTTGTGTAGATTTACACTGGAGAGATCATCCATGCATGATTCACCATCACAGACATGTGTAGTGTATCGATTAAACAGTGTATTGATTTCAGACAAACTGCCTGTAGTTTAAAATGGCAGTATTGCCATGCAAATGGTGTTGAAGCTGAATATCAGTACAAAATTTATTTGTTTGTATCATTTACAGAGGATTAAAGGCAGAAGTGATTTGATGCGTTGTATTTTCTGAATACAATGTATTGATTGTTTTGTATTTTTCATGTCAATAAATAGTTCTTTCAATTAGAGCTTTTGTTATTTAATATGTCCTTTTTTCAAATGATTTTTGTAAAAAAACAGAATTACATTTATTTAACGGAATTCATTAATGATTATAATAACAAATAAGGAAGATTAATTTTGATAACAGCTACCTTCATTTCATAAACTAATTCCCGCCATCGTTTGACACCATTGTTTGGATAAAAATGACAAAAATTCAATTTAATTCAAGTACAAATAATTTTGAAAATAGTAGAGTTGTCTCCCATACAAATCTTAAATCATTCCATTATAACAGGTACGTATATTAACGTTAATATACATACCTGATTATAAGTTTCAAGTATTTATGATTGTTCACTCTTTATAATTGCTCACTTTTTTTAATTTTAATTTCTTGGAATTTACGGGCAACTAATTAAAAAAAAAATATCCAATATAAGATGCTTATTTGAAATTAAATGTACAACTTAAGTATAATTTTGTATGTATTTGTGGGTATAAAAAATGAGATTAGTAGGTTTCAAATAAAAATTAATGATTTTATGAAACTAATGTTTTCCCATGTCTTTTTTCTAGAAAATCACATATATCCTCAAAGAATTTAAATTGCACCAATTCACACTAGTAATTTAACCCAATCACACTGAATTAAACCAATTACACTGATTTAAACCAATACCACAATTATTTACACAAATACATCTGAAATAACAGTAAAGACATCCCTAGAACAGAGATATATCAGCTGGGAAAACATTATATATACATGGCAACATCTTACCTCACTCTAAATGCTTTTACCTTCTGTTTTCTACACAAATAAATCCATTTCTTGTTGTTTTTTCCCCTATGTTAAAGTAAAACAGGTGGAAAAACAATTAAGTTGTGTTTTGCGTGTAATAAGTTATCACAGTAATAAAGATTGGCATATATTTCACACAACGGTTACACTGTGGATTGATAACACTATTATACTCACTACCTGTTGAAAATACAAAATGTATTCCCATGCATGCATACTGAACAACAGTGTATTACAGTGTATGTACATACATAACCTACAAGATTTGTGGTAAAACTTTCCTGTTGCCCCTGTAAAGTGGTATTTTCCTAAATCTAGGTGGTTGGTATAAAATTAATTGGTTCATGTGTTTTACAGATATATTCATGATGAGCTAGGTAGATAAAAAAATTGTTTGGTTTATGTTTGATGTATGTGTATTAAGTTTTTTTTTTGTATCAAAAATGATAAAAAACTTCTCATGAACTTCGGTTTAAGGTGAATTGTGAAAAACTGTTAAGTTTATTTTTGTGCATTGCCTGGCCTTTTTTAAATCACAAAGTTGCATGCATACTTAGATAAAAGCAGAAAAAGAAGTTCATATTGCTGTTAAATAAAACAACATTTTTCTGCTGTAAGCGATACAGGAAAAATATATTTTAATACAAAATATAAAAGATAAACCCATTTTAGGTGTTGACTTGCCTAATCTACACAGAAATTCAGGCAAATACCAAATTCAAAAATAGTTTCATCAATATATAAATTTGTTCTGAAGCAGGTTAAAGATACCATCTTAACTATTATTTAAGATGCATAATTTTAGTATTCTGGAATTTCGAAATACTTATTATTACAAATACAGTATCAAACTCGAAGAAAATTCGAAATAAGAGGAAAAGCAATAAAACAGACTGCATGGACGTGTACACAGGCCATGCTATATTATACTGATTATATATCGTCACCTTTGTGCATTAACAGGTTAGCTGCTATTTAAATTTAATAGGAATTAAAATTGTAACTGCACTTACATGACGATATGCATGTTATTATCAGTAGTATCATTCTAAGAGTTTATTGTATAAGTCAAGTGATTGGAGATTCAGATGTGGAAGTTCATGTATATGTTGATGAAGTATGAAGCAATGTTGAGTTCATATTGTTGGTATTTAAAGTGGTGATATCCTAGCTACTATAAGGCATATAGTAATAAAACTGTTTGGTTTATAAGTGTGTGTAATTTTTTTTTAAATTTATCAAATCAGTCTTTATTAAATATTTGTTCTTTACAAAGTACTAAAAGATTGCCTTTTCTTGCATATCAGACAGGATTATCTACCGTTTACACCTGTGCTAGAAAAACCTGTCTTACACCCCCCATGTAAGACAAGCCGCAAGCTTTAAATGACGTCATTGCTGCGCGTCTTTTATGAATGAATTGCGTTCTTAGGATGACGTCATTTTATCGTTATGAATGAAGTTGTAAGTTCATACGCTTCTATATGAAAAAGATGATAATGAGAATATCAGTTTTCGTAATTTCTGTTCTGAAAAAAATTGATATGTAATATGCAAGAAAAAGAATCAAACACCGGCTGTCGGTACAGACAGGAATATCTAGCTCTCGGGGTAACTGTCTAGCGGAAACTCGGCAGTGCCTCGTTACCGCCGTAAACAGTTACCCTCGAGCTAGATATTCCGGTCTTTACTGGCAGCCAGTGTAAGATTCTTATATTCTTCCATTTCAGTCTTAAATAAGTAATTTTCATGACAGAAAGTACTAATTTAAAAATATTGTTTGTGTTTTCTTCTCTTTTCTCTCTCTAATCTATTTGTACAAGGTTGATTTGTTTATAGATAAGCAATATATAAATGTTGTTTAACACACTCTTCTCACTATATAAAATGTTTAAAAGTGCACACTCATGGTCTGTTTGCAAGCCTTTCCTCGTAAATCAAACTTTTATCATTTGATCGACACTGAAATAAACACACTTGAACGAGCAGATATCACATGTTTTCACTAATTGAAATCGCGTTTTATGATGCAAAAAACTTTAGACATATTGATAGGAAACTAAAAATTATAAGTTATTTATGTGATATCTTGTCATATTGGTACATTAATATAAAGGGAAGTAACTCATATTCTTAAAATCAGAATTCATTAATTTGGGTGATGTGTTTTAGGATATATTCTCAATATGCAAAAAGTCATGAAAAATATTTCTTCTTAACTTGTTTGCATGGTATTCATATATTGAACAGATTATAAATAAAATGTAGGGAAAACTTTTATTTCAACCTCATTAATTGACTGTATTGAGGTTATCTAAAAATAGTTATTTAAAATGCAGCAAGCGAAAAGCCAGGTTTAAGAACCACAAGGATAGTTTTTGAATATATTCATCATGTAGGTAATCTAATTTTCGTTTGGAGATTCTGCCCCAATACAATTGAAATGTGTTCTTCCAGTTTGTGATTGATAAGTTTTTAGTGCAGGGTATATGACCTAAGTTACCCTATATCTGGCATTGCACTTCAACACCAAAATTGCAGGGCATATTAATAATGTCCATCTTTCAGTGTGGAGATTTTACCATCTTACTGTCCTCATAGGTATGTTATGAGTGAAAAGACTAATGTGAATGTTTGTTGTATATTTTTAGCCATTGGTCAAGTTCAAGAATCACCTTTATTATGAGGAAAAAGACCATCTATCTGAAGCTGAAAGGAATCTGAAGACTTTATCTGGCAGTAAGGTTAGAATGTTCAATCTTTTACATAGTTCTTAAATTATGCTGTTTATCAAAAGCTGTCTGAAAGACAGGGCGCTTGACTATTCTCAGTGCTTGACAGTCAGAAAACGGGCATAACTTTGTATACAAGTAGCTCATAATTATAGGGCCTGTGCCAATCATATTAGACAAAGCAGAGAACAAGACTTAGTGTCTGAAGTTTCAACCCATTCTTTTCAGTAGTTTTGGAGATACCAACTAGCATGCAAAATCTTGACCAAAGTGGGACAGCGAATCTGACGCTTTCATAAGTACTGTAGCTCTCCCTATTCTTTAAATAGCCAAGCTAAAAATTAACACAGATGGTGTATATTACTTCAAAAGAATATGAGTTGGATCCTACAAGTCTGTTTTATTAAGGAAAGCATTTAAAAGCCATAAAACTAGTTTCTTGCATTACTAAAATATTTGTTCATTTTACTTTTATTTCTTGTAGTTGATTATTTGTGGACCATTACATGTAATATTTTATTTTGTAGATTGGTTTTTATCTGAATGGAAAGTTTCAAGGTGTAGCGTTTGAGGATATATTTGACGGAACATACTACCCAGCAATCTCACTGTACAAAAATGCCAAGGTAAGTTCTGTAGTTGATTCTACTGCAGCCATATTTCCTGGCAGTTAATTTTACTTTCATACATGAATCCTGCCTATACATAATATGTTGTTGAATAAAAGTTAAAAGGTGATAACAATATATTAGTCAGTTGAAAATCACTGAATTGTTAACATGTTATTGAAGATTTTACTGACAACTGACAATTTCAAATCTAGAGCAGGGTATGAGTTAATTTATGCATAAAATATCAACAATGAAATATTATTCTGCATTATTTAGAAGTTTTCCAATACCATTTGCATAACCTCTGTGAAACGTCCTTTGAAATATCCTATAGCTGACAGATGCACCGTGATTAAAGGCAGTGTCAGTGATCCTGTCAGTATACATAATTCAACTGCAGCCAAGCTGTTTAATGCAAGTGATGATAATTGAAAAAACTTAATGCTGTCAATATAGAACCAGGCCTCAAGGTTTTAAAATTTATTTTGATTTTTGTCGCATCTCTTCTCAGGATTTTCATTGGTCAATGCACATTCTATGCTGGTTTGTGACCAATCAGATACCTGTATTTGAAAAGTTTGAGCTTAGAATACATTGTAATACGTTATAACCTTGGATCCAAGGGAAGTTACTGTGTCATGCTGTCTGTACAGATTGTTTAATGCTTGCTGCTACATGTTTAGTATTTTACTCCTGAAATTCCTTGCCCTGAATTACAATAAGACCATTTTAAAGCAGGAGAAGTCCATTATTTAAATTCAGTAGGGAATTAGTAAACATTGACTATTGATGCCCAAAACAATCAAAGATTGGGCAATATTCATTGTGAGAGGTCAATGCAATGTTAATTTAAACAATAAAACTATACAAACATTTAGATTATTCTGTCTGTTACATGTGTATTTATTTCATAGGTTAGTACACAGTGTATTCTGGGTAATTACATATTACAAAATGTCTGGGCTGGTATTGTGAAGAAAAGATCATTACAAATTTGAATATAATGATATGTTTAGATCAATGAAGTTATCCATTTTGTTTCAGGTGACTTTGAACTTTGGTCCAACATTTAAATACACTCCGGATAAAATACAAGAGTACCAGCCTGTAAGTGTACTAATTGTTATCATTTTAATTGCCGCTGTTAAATTGTATAAATTAGTTTCATTTGAAAACTTCAGTGACCACTGTTGCATAATAGTCAGACGGGATATGATAATTATTGACTATAATCTGGTTAAGTTAACGCCCATTGCTTTTGTTAAGTCTTTAGTATCTCAATTTAAAACGCAACAGCTCGAAATTTTGTCATTGAATTGAGACAAATTCATGAGTCATAGTCCCAATGTGTCAAGTTTTTTACGCAATTCCCTCAAACTTGCACTCACTGAAGTTCTACTGTGTAAGAGAAATAGTGAAATAATTTTTATACTTAACTCTTCAAATGCTTATTTTAGTCCTCTGCCACCAGTATAGAGATAGACTAGCCAGAGTATTTATCCAGTCTGATTAGAGTATACACATATAAATACTGCTATCCACACTGTTATAAATTTTTAGGCTGCAATCCCGAAAACTTACTATTGGCAGTTCCAAATCTAAGGCAGGGTATATATAAATGCTTAAAATATCAACAATGAACTTATGTGCACCACCCAGTTAGCTCAAATGGTAGTGTTTGGACTGTGAATCAGGTGACCTGGGTTTAATTCTCAGATGTTGTGTTTTGTGATCGATAGTGCAATCTTTTGAATGGTCATTTCAATGAACCTTTGCTCTGGCATGTACAGAAGCAGTTTCTTGCAAAAGTGAAATCATCTAGTACTGGGAACCTGCTTGACAGCTTACCCAGGAATGGTAATGTGTGATGGCCAAAACTCTGTTCTGGCGAATTCAATGTAGCTAAGCTTGCTGCCAAGATCCCCGGATGATAAACTACAATCAACCATCACCAATGAACTTTTGTTCTGCTTTTAGAAAAGGCAATATTTTGACATGTTACCATTTGTCAATTCTAGGATTTGTTGTTCGAGTGAATAATTTATGTATTTTATATTTCAGATGTCAGAGACGGCTATGTTATCAATGGTTGAGAACACATTATCTGACATGCTGTTCCACGTAGAAAATGAAGGAAAACTGCCAGACTTCCAAAATTAACTGACCAGTTGATAGAGCACATTTTGAAAAATAGGAACATGCAACAGAAAATTAATTATGGTGGTATATGTACCAGTATACATTTGAAAATAGAGAATTCTAGTGTATATACATGTACTAAAGGGAATTGAAATAAATGATAGCATAAATATATGGATTATATCGAATATTTATATCAATGCTGCAAACTCCTGATAAACGAGACTGAAAAATTAAAACATTAAGTGACATCAGACATTCATAGTGTGGTTGCAAGCTCATAATGAATAAGAGTAAAAACTGATCATTTAGATGACAAATGTTTAGTGTGTCTTCAAGCTCCTTAATGAATGAGAATGGGAAAAAAAGCATGGAGATGCCATCAGATGTTGAGTGGAGTTGCAAGCTCTGATAAATTTGACTAAAAACTAAATATAGATGCCAGCAGTTATCTTAAGCACAACAGAAAGCTTCTGATAAATGAGACTGAGAAAGAAACAGATTATGGAGGAAAATAATGCCAAGGGAAAAATGACAGAATAATAATTTGTCATGCAACAAATCTGTTCCCTGATTTCTGTGAATTTGCTATATCAATTTATGTCTATGTTTTGTACATCTGTATATTGTAAGAGTTCTACAGACATTTTCTTCATTGTTTGATAGTAGATTGAATTTGTTTTCTTTTATCATCTTGATCAAATGAAGCAGGTTTGGATCAAATTTTGATTTTTAACTGAATTAAGAATATGATTTGTTTTTGTTGGACAATATATTTCAAAAAAGAATTATTGAATTTAATTTAAAATGTTTTTGTCACTGTCAAATGTTATTGATAAATTAGAATCAAAAATAAAACTTATCAGCTGTATACATACATTGTTTTGTTTATGACAGAGGTTATGGAATGTTATACATGAATGCCTTTCAATTATGATATAATGATAGTATATGTTGCAAAAGAATTGGTTAGATACCGCATTTGTTCTAAAATGATTTCACTTAATATAATGACCCCACTACCGGGGGTTTGTCTATCCATGATGCTGTTAAACCCAAGATTGACATTACAGTGGAATATGGACATCCCCTTAATAGATGTTTTCTTTAATTAGCACATTTCTAGTTTATGATTGAATTTCTACTTTTAGATAATGTTTATCTAGAGTTGCATTACTTCATTCTATTGTAACGTTAGATTGCATATTAACAAAGTTATGGCAAATTAGGTGTAGTCTTAATTACAGACTCCATGAAAAGGAAAAGCATTTAAAAGATTATAAATGTCAAATTTTATTGCACTCTTTCACATTTTCACTTTCACAATAAATTATCACAACACTGAACAATGGATTTATTAAGATTCATGTAAACCAAGAATACATTACAATATTGGTTTTTTAAATACTTTTTATCTGAGGCAAAAAAAACAACAACAAACATAATGTTTTAACCTAATTTGTGAAAAATATTTCATAGTGTTAAGATTACAATTTACCTTCCTCAATCTTGTGGTAGAACAGTGGTTATGCAGTATATACTTATATTAAAATGAAGTCAGCCTGTTAATATATACAGTATCAGTTACATTGTTAAATTTGAAACATCTTATTTATCTTATGCAAAACTACAAAAAAGTTTCTAATGCAATAAATCAAGGTACAAAAATATTGATAAACAAGTAACAATAAATAATTCAACAATCAATAAATGTGTAAGTACTCTGGCAATACTCATACTTATTCACATTCTATAAAAGCACTAAGAAAACTTGAAACACATTGTAGGCAGATAACACTCTTATCTATATTGATCATAAATAAACATGGCATGTTTCAAGATATTATATATCTTACATTTCAAATTAACTGGAACATATTTTTTTTAGGCCAATCATCCAACAGGACAGACCGAAGTTAATTTCTATCAGCACACATTTTTCTAATTGTCTGTATGCAAATTATCTCAAATTCTAGTCTTAAATACATTGCCAAATGGAAGAGTGGAAATTTCAATCCCTGTTGACATTCGATTACTGCTTAGAACTAAATATGCTCCTTTCAGCAAAAACCATTCATTCCATTTAAAGGCTCCAATAATTTGACATTTTGGAGAATTAAAATATTTTAAGGTTAACATTCAAGCTTTCCTTGTGATAGAAGACCACAGACTTGCTGTCGGGTAAGATCAAGCACCTAAGTAAAAGCCAGAAGCTATTGTACTACATGTACTAGAAGAGTTTTTTACATGAAAGAATTACACAACCTTTAGGAGATTCAAACCTGCAGCTATGAGAAGCAAGCACGATGTAAAAGTGATTATCAAACAAAGGCAAAAACTGCTAAGCCATTTTCATATTTTTGCGATAGGAACATCATATTTTTGCGATAGTAACTGAAACAATCTGTTTAATTTATAAGACACATAGTCATTGCAAATTAAAATAATTAATATTGAACTTTGATACTGAAAGGCATTTATATAATGCTAACATTATATGTCTTAATAAACTAATTTGTATGAATAATAATAGACTATAAATGAATTAACAACAAAATAATTATGCAAGTAGATGTATGACAGTTTTTTACAACATGAAACATGGCAGTGATTATATGACATTACACTTGTTTACACTTGTTGGTCTAAGACTTGGCAATGCTCAACAATTTGTCAGTATAAACTATTTTTTCCCTGGGTTTCCCAATTTTTTCTCCTGCATCTTTCTCTATATTGTCAATCTTCTCCCAGTCATTGAAAGAAACTGTTGTTACACCTGAAAAAAAAAGTTTTTATTCTATTTACACCTTATTCAAAAACCTGTAAAACAAGAAGTTTGACAAGGATCATTGAGTTGTTCCCCTTACAATAAATAGTTGACAATGAAAATATATTTTTTTTTTAAAAAGCACAGAAATGTATCTGCTTTAAAACTTTGAAAAGGTTCCTTTTTAATAAACGGAAAACCAAATTTCTTAAAAATCAAGTAATTGATTCCAATGAAAATACAAACAGTACCATTTTGTTTGATAAAAATACAGTAAGTTTGTATAAATTTTCGTTGATGATTGATGTATTTTTAAAATTTTAATTGCATGCTACACTCATACGAGTAAAAAAACAGTCCAGTATATATTTCCATGTATTCTGACCAGATTTAATTCTGTTGCTTGCTTAATTTTATACCGCAAAATCTTTAACCCAACATTTCAAAATTTGAAACAGAAAAGAGTAAGTTATAAGCATGGTCGGAAATAAAATACTGGGTAACAATAGTGGCATATTGCTATCAATCTCATTTCACACCTAATACAATAAAATCAATGCACTTTCAGCATTTGCTGTTCAGCATGTGATGTTCCAATAGAAATCATTATTGTTTCCAATCTTATCAATTTAGCCTCATTTTCATTTCCTGACTCCAAAAAGTTCATGTGAAGTCTATTTCACACATCATGTAGCTTTGTTTTCATTTTCAGTGTGACTGTCCAAAAGGTTCATATCAAATCCATATCACACCCGATATAGTCTCATTTTCAAAGTCCGAAAGGTTTATATCAAATCAATATTGCATCCCATCTAGTATCTCATTTAACATAGCTGAGAGCAGTACTGATTCAATTTAGACTTGTACACAGCTGCAAGCTCTAGATTCTTTATCAGACTTGGCTAGCATCTTGTCCAATATAGTTTTGACAATAGCTGTGTACTTGTCCAATCAAAATCAGTATTGTACTCAACAATGAATATTAACCTCATAAAACATAACAAACCTCTATCCTGCAGTAATTGTAATGCACCATCTCTGCCAGCCTGTAAGTGTAGTTTATTATCCTCTATATCTTTCAGAATCAGTTTGCCTACTTCAAAACCATCTGTCATTGTTCCTAATATAACACCAACAGGTCCTCGCCCTGCCCAGCCACTACAATATAAACCTGCAAACCAATAATTAATTCACAATGAAATCTAGTTTTTTCATGGTTGGGTTTTTATTCAGAGTAACACTAATAAAGACAGATGGAAAATTTTCTTGTGAAGAATGACCCAAGTTACCAGTCATTTATAAAAGCTTGCACCAGCATACATCAAAGTGCAACAAACAGTCTTCTATTAGTTATCTGTGTAATTTCCTCACAACTGCTGAGCAATTTGAAAATCTAAGAAAACCATTTCTACTGACACACCAACTTTTTATACAGTTGACATAGATTTCACAAATATCCTCAAATATGTGCAGTACATATATCACCTCAATGTAAAAGTGAATACTATATAAAGCTTAACAAATATAATCAATACCAGTTTTTCCTTTTACCCGTCCCTGTTCATTTTTTATCACACCCTGTGTTTCATCAAAGGGTATTTCTGGATCTATCTGCCTACTTCTATACCCTATGCTACGTAACACAAGACCACATGATATATCTTCTCTCTCCTCTGTCAATACTGCCCGCTGTGTCATTAAATCTGTCCCCTAAAAATATATATACATGTATATTAAAGAAATACAAGAGCTGTTAGTAGGACAGTGTGCCTGACTATTCTCAGTGATTGATAGTAAAGCCAGAGTCTGGATAATGTAGAAGGGCCATAATTATGTCAAAATCCGTGTTAAAGTTGTGGGCCTTGGATAGTGACCTCTGATTCTGCTCTCAAAAAAGTGTGTGAAGGTATAACCCATTCCCTTCAGTAATTTTAAAGACAATTACTTGCATGCAAAAATTAAACCAAAGTGTGATGCAGACCAATGCCTCAGTGAGTACAATAGCTCTCCTTATTCTTCCAGGCAGTAAATATGGTGTGTAGCTGCAATATACTGTGGCCTTAATGACAATCAGAGTTTATGTACACAGTCATTAAACCATTTGTGCATCAGCCTTAACTGTTAATTACATGCATCTACAATGTAGTATGTTTTGCAAGAAAAATGTCATTATGATTTCAAATTTTCTGTACCATTTAAGGTGTAATGCTAGTGAGGAAGTCACAGTTAGTTAAAGTAAGATTGTATTTCTTATTGTTCAACCAACAAACATGAAAGATGTAATGCTTAGCCTGCTAATGGCTACTGATTCTACCCATGTGACCCGCGCAGACCTTGATCCATCAGCTCATCAGTGTAGGCTGATCATGTCAGCACTAAATTTTTCCTTAAACAATAAATGGTTATGTCCAGATTGAAAGATGGACAAAGTCCTTTACATACAGGTGACAACTGAAATGGAACATACATTGACCTTGGTAAGGATTAACATATACATCAAAATTAACCTCTAATCTGTTAACTCCAAATCTGACACCTGAAACTGTTGAGCTGTTGGTAAGAATTTCTAGTGGGCTAAGTCTAAATCGTAACTCCCATTCCTTTGTAGCACTTTCCCAAAATTTATGATCTGATGCTGAAGGATTCAAAGCTGTTTTGTGTAACAATTCTGTGAGACGTTTTCTTGGTCGAGGCACATCTGTAAATAAATATATAATATACTTTTGTTGTCATTGAGGAAAATAAAAGTACACAAGTTTAAAGAATTTTTTATGTCTATAAAAATTGTCAACATTGCTTCCTTTTAACCTGCTGAATTTGTAAAATGGATTTGCCCAACTTTAAAATTGGAACAGTCCAGGGCTTTCAATCAAAATACAAAACTTGACCAACAAACTGTAATGTTGCAGTCTGACTAGGTTTCATACTGTTGGAAAATCTATTAAATCAATCACTTTCAGTTTCAGGAGGTTCATTTTTGTTTGGTTTTATGGCCCACCAATGGTTTTATGGCCCACCAACATAACTTCTGTCATATGGGGCAGAAACAGGAAAGATGATTTTGGCTAATCTTGGGTGTTACAAACTTAAAGCAACACCAGGGGTTCAAAACCACCTCACCTGCTGGAGCTAAGAGATGCATAAACTCTAGTAATTCGAATCCATTTAGTCCCTCTTATGATCACGGAGGGATAAACAGTGGTTGTCATTCTGATGCCTCAACACTTAAAGGCAACCCCTCAGCCACAAAGGGGATTTTGTAGCATAAACTGAAGTCTTTGAAGCCATACCTAACATTCCAAAGTCCATTTCCATTCTTTTCTCCATGAGTTAAACCTTTTGGGACCAAACAAGAAGCCTCCAATTAGAAGGTCCTTAATATATTACACACACATGCAATGATAAATCATTGCCCACTTTAACCTTTTTAAGCCCTAATAATCATGCTGAATTTGCGTAATGGATTTATGTACTTTGCTTTGAATGGGCCATTTGAATTGGCATCAATTACAAAATACTAAAATTCAGCTGCCAACAGTATAGAAAATAGTCTCAAAGGAACATCTTTGTAGTCTGACCAGACTCTTCACTGTTTACTGACTGACTTTAAATTTTTATCTTTAAATCCTCAAAAATGATAATGGACAGTTCCAAAAATGTAGGTTAGGACAAAGTTCAGCAGGCTAAGGGTTAACACCGATAGTTACCTTTAACAACATCATCCAAGCCTATATAATCATTGTTATGCAGTACAGGCCTGGTACCAGGAAGTTTGATCATTTCCCTGAGTTCTTTTATGGTAAATGCAACTTGTAGTGGACCTCTTCTACCAGCGAGAATTACACGCTTTATACGACTTTTTCTTAACTTCTCCAGACTGTATTCTGTTATATCTGTTTTCTGAAAGGAGAAATAATTTCTGTCAATAAACTGTCATTTAAAACAAAAATACATGTAATTCTAGATGCCACAGTGTTCAAATAGGGCCATCGCTACAAATATAACTCAAAACAACGAAAATACGGTGGTGAAAAGTCAAAATATTGAAACCACAATGGTGAAAAGTCGAAGGCATGATGATGAATATCAAACTTATATAAACTTAACTATGCCAAATTATAGATTTACAAATTATATTTATAGTGGCAAATACCTACACCAGCAAACTTAATAGTTAACATTCACAAATCCCAGAAATGTCATAGCTTTTATCATGTTCAAATCTTATTTCACAAAACCATGCCAAAGTCAATTTTAGAATTACAATGTATATATTATTAAGATTTAATTATGTTTCAATCTTATGATGATGGCAAAAATCTATTTTTAGAATGACTCAATAAATTTAGAACTGGGCTAATTGTCATAAATTATTAGGTCACAGCTTTAATTATGTTAGTCCACTATAATAATCATACTCTGTCATATATAATATTGCAATAAACACATGATATTGATGTTTTTAAATGTCACACGGTTTAACTGGTTCTATATATAGAAATTATTCATGACTAATATAGAAATTATTCATGACTACCCTACACATTATGTTTACATATTGCATACATCAATTAAGGTTTAAACTTACAACACAGTTAACCAGGTAATATTTCTTTTAAACATTTAAATACATAATTTTCATAAAATATTGTTGAATTCTAAATATTTAGGAGGCAATAAGACTTTTTAAACCAGAAAAGTAATTTAAACACTTATTAAATATTTATGTGTTAAACTTTAAATTCACATTTCTTTATGGTATATATATATATATATGTAAAATTCAAACCAAATAAAAGTTAAATTTTTGTTGACAACATTCTGAAATATAACTTTGAAATTTAAACATTTATGCAAATTTAAAGCAAACATGATTATTGGTTAAAATCTTTTATAATGTCAGAATATATCAGTATTTTACAATTATGCTAAATATAAACAAAATATCAATCTTTAGGTACTGATTTACGCTTCAGAAGACCTAATACAGTGCAGGGAATATACAATAAATGCATATCATGACATCTGGTTTCCTTTATTTAACATACCGTAAAATTCCTATTTAATGCCCCCGGGGGCTAAACATTTTCCAAAAGAGGGGCTATTAATTATTACAACACAGTTTTTCCTAAATCCAAAAATCACTGTAAATACATTTAGTGGTAATAACATTAAAAAGTGTTAAGGTTTTAAATTTCATATTATACATATTTGTGTTTACTATGAAATAAAATGGATTCTGAATGATTTGAATAAAATTATGGCTTTAATTATGAGCTCAGCACTGATGAGTAGATTGTTTTCCTTATCAAAAGGCCTGGGGGGGCCTTTAATAGGGGAGGGGCATTTATTAGGAATTTTACGGTAACAGTGGCCTAATTATTAAGGTGTGACCTTAGTCTATTAACATACACCATTGGTTCAAGCCCTGATCGAGAAACGTCCAAACTTCCTCATATGACATTAATACTGATTAGTTCAAAATAAATGTGTTGAACCATTAGTCTGCAGGCAGACACTGAAAATAACGATGCAACCAGTGCAGACTAAAATAAGCACAGCCACATTCATCATTCAGTCAGTATAATGTATATTTTGAAACATTCACAAAACATAATAAATAGTCTTGACTAGATGAAATGATGGACATGTCCATTCCAATTTTACCGAGATAAAGGGTGTAACCAATGTAAGTGTGATTGCTTATTGATCTATAAACTAATCCATTATATTTTATTTAAAACAGTGTGTTATCATTATGGCAACAACAACACCAAGGCAACAAAGGGAACAGAACTCTGTCTGGCTGTCAAAGATTGTAAAGGGAGATAAATCTATTGAAAACGAGACAAATATAAACTTTTGCAGATTTTCATTTCGAGCATGCAAGTTGAAGAAAATATTCAATCATTGCACAAAAAAGATGTATTTACTGTGCAAGTGTACATGTGCGTACGAACACGAGTATTTTATGTATGTGAAAGACGATGGAAGTATTGACACAGAAATGTTTGATAGTATTTTGGCCTCTGTTGCCACTGGCAAGTGTCCTCATGTTGAACCATTCAAATCTACTTCAGAATCCTCGGTCACGGCAAAACACTCCTTTGCTGCAGTTGGAAACTCTGATATGATCATGTCAGAAACTACGTATGTGCCAACATCATGTTTCGGGATAACACCGTATCATGTTGCAACTATACACAAGCAACATGGTGCTATCAAAAAGCTAAGCAACATTTACAACTTCTGTACACTAAAGTATCCAACAAGAATGGAGAAAACCAACGGAGGAATCAAATTTGATTTAATAGCAACCAATTCTTTAAAACTTTGTATTGATAGGGAAGATACTGAAACGCTCAAAACAATTCTCAGCGGCATCACAAACGTGTACCAGTACAATTCACCAATTCTTTACGCTATACATCACGGAAAAACAGAATCCCTTGATGTTCTCCTATCTTCATACAATGAATATATGAACATTTTCCAGAAAAAAGAAAATGACAATTTTCAAGGTACATTTTTTGCTGTTCTAAGCAACAGACCAGAATCCCTCAACATAATACTTGACCACCTTGAAATTCGTAGTGCATTTACTATTGATGAAAAGTTTACCATTGCCGACCTTGCCCGCTCATTAGGCCATTCTAAGTGTCTTGAAATACTTGAGAAATGGGAAGACATGCAAGAAGATGGCAATGGAGGCAGACTGATACACGAACATAGAACGCGGGACAAAAGCGCAGCAGTGTCACCAATATGTGCGATACTTTTCAAACTGAAATTTCACAATCTTCATCACTATAAAACTGAAAGTCTGTGCCAGATCCTTGAGAAACTAGTGGCAAATGGTCATGACATCAATCAAAAAAGCGAATGTGGCAAAACCCCTTTACATTACGTCTGCGCACAAGATCCATTTTTTGACATAAAAGTACATTTTACATTATTACAACTTGGTGCTGACATAAACGCTAAAGATCCAAGTGGTGAAATAGCTTTGTTTCCAATTCTTAATGAGCTAGAAATCCAACAATTTTACCAGAGAGACTGTCTCAAATGGTTCATCAGAATGGCTCTATATCATAATCCGATCCGATCTAACATAAGCCACTGGGACATACTGGGGGACCAGAATCGATTTAAACGTCTCAACCACATATATGACGGTCTGTGTGAGGATTTCGTTGAATGCGGCTTTATACCTAAAGACTACACTGAAGTTAGATCTCTACAGAAGATGTGTCGAGACTCACTCAGACAGCATTTTCCTGGTACCAGCCTTCACAGGTTTATACAGGAAACAGATATGCCTCCATCTTTCAAAGACTTTATTTTAATGAAGAAAAGGTTAGACTGGCAGCAGCATCTAGATTTCCACCAGTAGGGAAGAACACTACATAATTTTTTTATTGTTCTCCAATAAAGACATTATACAGCTTATATATTACAACAGTAAGGACAGACAACCTTACTTATAGGTTCACAAATAAAAGCATAAATATGGCGGAAGCTGCATTCCTGATAACATTTTGTTTTTTAGAAAACAAACATTATTACAGTTCTACTATATGCAAGCAACATTCAAGTTCTAGACAAGACAGAAAACGTGTTAAGAAGGCAGGAATTCCCACTTTACACCTCTGCAAATGCAGTGACAAGTTTAACAGAGATCCATTGAACTAGGTAGACAATGTGATCTAAGTGCATTTTCAGCTTGGCAGATATAAGACACTTAGGGACAAAATGGAATGTGGCATAGAATGATATAAGAGATGAGGCATTTAAAGTGGGCATTAATTCATAACATTTACTTTATATACAGATGCTTCAATGAGATTAAAGAGGCCATTTCATAGCATTTACATGAAATATAGATGCTCCAATGAGATTAAAGAGTGCATTTCATAGCATTTACATTAAATATAGATGCTCACATAACTAATTGTTGAGTTGGAAGTTTTACGCTTATTAAAACACTCTTGCACTGTCTTAAAACCAACCAGAAATGAATGGAAAGTTTCCTGCTCAAGGACATAACAGCTTGCCTGTGACAGAGTTTGAACTCACGCAGCCAGTCAGCCTTATATTACTAGTCTGATGCATAGACCACTTGGCCACATCGGGGATTGACAAAATTTGCAGAAAAATCTCTCTAGTAGGGTAGAGAAAATTTTGTTAATAAAATAGTAACATGTCCTATTTTGCTTAATACATTCATATGGAGTGTAAATATTTATATTTTTCTTAAGATATAAATGTGTTTTTCTTATTTTTGAATTTTTGAAGATTAAATTAACTCATACGGAGGTAAGCCACTTTAAACTGAAATAACTATGGTAATATAAAAGAATAAACATGCTTAATAAATGAGATATTACTTGCTGGACTACCATAGAACATACAGGTTTCAATTTTATCTTATTACAGTTAAAAACATTTTCATAAATAAATAAATATCAAAAGATTCAACTGTTAAGACATGACTGTGATATACAATGTCTAATAAAAATGTTTCTTCCATACAAAGTGCAAAATATTATGATAAAAAAGTTTTGATGTGAAATTTATAAAACCTCTTTAATTTTGTTTTATATCTAATGGAATGCAAAGAATCTTATAACCTGTTCCCTTCTAAATTTGTGTAATGAACTTGCCTTGCTTTGAATTTAGTACAGTCCATTGATTGTTTAAGGGTTTTCAATATCAAAACTAGAACTCCGCGAGTTGGATGTATTGCTTTGTCAACAGTATAGCTGTTACTTAGGCGTTTTCTTGTTAAATATAGGTTACTTATAAGCACTGCTCTTGTAATGTGCATGTACCTTTACTTAACTGGCATTTGAACTTATTGTAACAATGTTACATCAGGATTAAGAAAATTGTTATAGTATCAAAAATAAATATACAATGGAAAAGTTTTACACTGACAGATCAAATGGAGGACTCTATGAATGATTCTTGTGCACTGCACTTCAGGTCAATGAAAAAAGCTTGCATACCAAATTTGAAGACAATCATTATATTGACCAAGATATGCTCTCGACAAGCCCATTAAGTATGAAAATTAACAAAGGGCATTAACTAAAAAATCATGAAGTGCAGAGTACAAGTTATTGTGCACTGCACATCTTCCCAATAAGATCAATCATCCGATGAAGTTTCAAGTCACTAGCTATTACAGTTTAGGTTAAATGGCCAAGACAAAAATAAACTATGAAAACTAACAAAGGGCAATAACCCAAAAATCATGAAGTACAGAGTACTGGTTTTTGTGATATTCAGTGAGATCTATTATCCTTTGAAGTTTCAAGTCCAAAGCTTTTACAGTTCAGGAGAAATGGCCTGAACAAAAATAACTTATGAAAATTAACAAAGGGTAATAACTCAAAAGTCAAGAAGTGCAGAGTAATGATTCTTGTGCACTGCACTTCGTGTCATTGAAAGAAATATGCATACCATGTTTGGAGTCAATCCAACCTACAGAGACAGAGATATGCTCCAGACAAGCCTAAGGGCACGCTACTGATGCCGCCGCCGAAACTAACCCTTATATGTTGACTTTTTCAAGGCGACAAAATGATACAACTGAGTAGCCAAGAATAAAGTCTGGTTTGCATATGCAAATTTGTTTGACTCTATACTACTGACCTTGATCATTCTTGCCACTAATATTCAGAGAAATCTATATGGAGTAATATAGGTAATTTCTCTTCAGTGTCAATGATCTAAGACTTCAGTAATGGCTTTTATGATGTCAATGATCATATTTGACATTTAATTCAATAAAAATAGTCATCTGTTGTCTGGCAAAGATGCTTTTCTGTACATCAATACCATTTGATTTCCTTAAAATATAATGCAACATTTATTCCTGTCCTAATGTCTCACAATACTAATCATAATCTTAGACATGAAAGTGTGTGTACATAGATTTTTTAATTTTTGGGATGAGGACCTTTTTGTGAATATATAATACATGTACTGCTTCAGTCATACACCTGAAGGCAGCTACCTAAAATGCCTCCTGGATTCTGAATAACTTGATTTTTCCACAAGTATCTACAACATTCTTCCCTAAAATCACCTAAATAAGTGGCTGTGAATAAATGGCTCAACATATATTGTCTTTAACCAAATGTATATTCAAAAATTTTAATGTTGTAAAAATATGTTGTGCCCATGACTTAAATCTATAGGGTTTATTTTATGTCTGCTCACTGAGCAAAACTTGGCAAGCACTTTTTTGCAATGTAAGAAGTGAAAATGGTAAGTGCTAGAAGAAACTAGAACTATCAATAAATGTGATTAATACCCCCGCAAGACTGCTTCGGAAATGAGGAAGTTACAAGTAACAGAATACCTTGTTAAAGAATTAAAATAGAGTTATGGTTGTGGGCAATTAAAGATAGTTGTGGTTTTTGTATGTTGCATTTCCTTACAATATGGTTGACCATTGATGAAGTTTTATTGAATTACTCTGTAATAAATCCAGAAAAAGTTACGCTTCTTGAGCACTGCACTTCCTCTCATTGCCCTTGACCATTGTATAAAGTTGCATTGAATTCTAAACATTGGTTTTAAGTTATGCACCGGACAAGGAAAAGGAACAAAGGGCAATAACTCTACAAATACTGAAGATGGAGTTATGGTTATCGTACACTGCATTTCCTCTCATTTCGCTTGACCATTGTATGAAGTTGTATTGAATTCCAACTACTAGTTTTCCAGTTATGCACTGGACAAAAAAAGTAACAAAGGACAATAACTGTAATGAGTCATGCCTCTTCTGCACTGCACGTCATCTCACTGCCCTTGAACATTGTATGAAGTTTTATTGAATTCCAAACATTAATTTTCAAGTTATGCACTGGACATTAAAAAGTAACAAAGGGCAAAAACTCTTAAATGAGTCAAGAAAGAGTAATGGTTTCTGTGCACTGCCTTCCTCTCAATATACTTGACCATTGTAAGAAATTGTATTGAATTCCAAATAGTACTTTTCAAGTTATGCTCTGGACAAGAAAAAAGCAATGGAATAGTAACAAAGGGCAGTAACTCAATAATTACTCTAGACAGAGTTATGGTTCTTGTGCACTGCACTTCCTCTTAATGTGCTTGATGATTGTATGAAGTTGTATTGAATTCCAACTAGTAGTTTTCAATTTATGCTCCGGACAAGGAAAAGCAACAAAGGGCAATAACTCTGTAATTAGTCAAAATGGAGTTATGGTTCTTGTTCACTGCACTTCCTCTCAATGTGCTTGATCATTGTATTAAGTTGTATTGAATTCCAACCACTAGTCTTCCAGTTATGCTCCGGATAAAAATAAGCAATGGAAAAGTAACAAAGGGCAATAACTCTGTAATTACTTTAGATAGAGTTATGGTTCTTGTGTTCTGCACTTCCTCTTATTGTGCTTGACCATTGTATGAAGTTGTTTTGAATTCCAAACAGAAGTTTTCAAGTTATGCCCCGGACAAGGAAAAGTAACAAAGGGCAATAACTCTATAATGAGTCATGATGGAGTTATGATTATTTTGCACTGCACTTCCTCTCAATGTGTTTGACCATTGTATGAAGTTATATTGAATTTCAACCATTAGTCTTCAAGTTATGGTCCGGACAAAAGAAAGCAATGGAAAAGTAACAAAGGGCAAGAACTCTAAAATTACTTTAGATAGAGTTATGATTCTTGTGCACTGCACTTCCCCTTATTGTGCTTGACCATTGTATGAAGTTGTTTTGAATTCCAACCAGTAGTTTTCAAGTTATGCTCCGGACAAGAAAAAGTAACAAAGGGCAATAACTCTGTAATTAGTGAAGATAGAGTTATGGTTCTTGTACACTGCACTTCCTCTCAATGTGCTTGACCATTGTATGAAGTTGTATTGAATTCCAACCATTAGTCTTCAAGTTATGCTCCGGACAAGGAAAATGCAACGGACGTCTGGATCGACCGACCGACCAACCAAACGACCACCGGGTGACTCCTATATACCCCCCCAAACTTCGTTTTTGGGGGTATAATAATAGCATATTAGAAAACATACATATACTATGTAAACAAATGAGACGGTTAAAATTGAAATCACAAACTTACAGCAAGAATGTCAATCGGAGTGAGGAGAATCCTTGCAACATCTAGTGCCACATTGCCATGTCCTAAAACTAGAGCTGTATCTGTGTCAAGGTCAACTGATAACTGTAAACAAACAGATCACAATACATCACATACTTTTACAGTGTAAACTCTCATAACTATGAAATAATGATACTACAAAGCTATGTATTAATATGCAAAATAAAAATGCTGAATTTATAAGTTGATTACTACTCTTTTCTTAACCCATTACTTCATGAGCATTTTGTAAAAAATTGCTGTTTTCATTAAAAAGTCTCCCGTTACAAGTTCAAATTGCTATAAAACTATAAAAACTGCTTCAACACTAATCAAACTTGGCACAAATGTTGACTGGACTATTGACGCTCAGTCTTAAATTTCCTGTTACCATGGCAATGAGGGGACATCTCAAAATTGCAAAAAATCACTTTTTTGAGTTGATTTTTTTCCCATCAAAATTGATTTCAAAGTGCTGCAACTTCTCAATGGATTGGATTAGAGTCAAGGCTTTTCAGCCTTGGTTACACATTACCTTATGATCGATCTGGGGTCATTTTAGCCTCTAATAAGTCCAAAATTTTCTTGGCGATGAGGGGGACTGCCGCCCCCTTCAAACCCCCAAACAGAAGGGGGCACATCCCCCTTCTGGAAACCCCCTTTTGTATCTTTTGGATAGGGTGCGCCCCGAAAGTGGTCACTTTTTTCAACAACATTTCTCCAACAAAATAAAGTGTTGGGGGCCTAAATATGGCATTTTTTCACCATTTGAAACAACCAAAAAGGGGGGGGTGAAAAAGGCATTGAAGGCGTGTTTATCGTGTAATGGGTTAACATTGTTTTAATATGAAGTTTAGACTTAATAATAACTATATATAGCACAGGCAGATTTTCAATATATCTCAGTATCTCTCAATCTGATTATTACTTTTTTGTACCGGGTATCTACCATCATAATTTTTTTTTTTTTAAACAAAAGATAACGTCTTTACATACAAAATAATAGGCCAAATAAAAATAAATAAATTCTTTTTACATAAAGATGTATGTATAGTATATAAGTAATTTACATATTTTTCATGATCTATCTTGAACTTAGGAAACATTTAATGAAATGGAGCTATTCCATTGGTCAATTGCTAGTAGAAAACTAAAACTTACATTGCTATCTTCTGGTAGGCCATTATACCATCCCACAAAATTTCTGGCTGACAACACATTTGGTGCATCCTAAATTCAACAACAAAAAATCTCATATTATTTATCATTGAATGTCCTATGTGACACTGTCCATATTTGTTTCTGTCCCAAAGTCTCATAAAGTGTTCTGTTTCACAATAAAACAGTTGGATATTTTTTTCTTTTCATTAAAGTAAAATTTATATGTGTACAAATTTCTGTCACCCAAAAAAGTTTGAACTAGTAAAAATATATCATAATTATATTGTATGAAAATTCCTCAGTAAGAAATGGTGTTGAATCATGATCAACAAAGGATATAATGTCCAAGTTTTTACCATTTACAAACCCTTATTTGGTCAAAAACATCAATCTTTTGTCATAAGGCAGTGACTTCAATTTAGCCCCAGCCAATACTTTTATTGTAGTATTACAACACAAGACAAGAGCTTAAACCCAAGTGACGAATGCCCCAGTGAAAAGGTTTCTTAAGGATGCAGGTATTATGAAAAGAAAAGAGACAGAAAGTAACTAATTGCTGGGAAAATGTTCCTTTGTAATATGGTTTGGGAACTCTTATTTGAAAAGCATGAACCCTTAAAGTATAATGGGACATTAAATTTGAAGAAAGAATAATCATTTTACAATTTAC